TGGGGGTGAAAGCGGCGGAGTCAAAAATACCAGCAAAGAATGTCCCCCTTTAATCTAAAATCGACCGGTCTGAGCGTTTTTCTACAATCTTGACGCAGTTCCTGAAAATGTCTCTGTTTCGTTTTCATTTGACCACTCTGTATATTGTACTGGTAGCAAACGGATCGCACTTTGAGAGTAGCTTGCTTGGATGAAAAGTTACTCATTTGTGTGCACACCAAAAAATTCCAAGTTTGCCAAGTCATATGTCTAGAAAATTATTTATGGTTAGACTTAATTGTATCTCTCATTTAAATGTTCATCGTATTTTTTGTAATAGAGTTTCACATAAATTAAATAAATAAACGGGCTTCCCCGAAACCCCCCTCACAATTTTTTTAACCTTCCAGGTACATGCACATGCTACAGCACGTCTACCGTACTAAAAATTTCACAAAACCCGGCCAGTACGTGAAGTGCTTCCACAACACGGAAAAGGTCCTCACATTGCACAACCACTTCCCGTTGAGCTGCCTGGGCAGTGGTTGTACCAGCTACCCGATCGAGACAACCGACGCCCAGTTGCACCACTACCGCGCCGATTGCGTGAAGACCCTGAAGAAGAGCTGCGAGGAGTTCCGCAAGACCAGCGTCATGGACACCACGATATGGAAATTCAAGGACCCGTTGGTGGCCAGGGTGTCGTCGACTTTGAGGGCGCTGGGTTTTTTCCCCGGCCCGGACTCCCAAACTACTTCGAATACTATTCGGAAGCGATGATGATTCTTGACTGTTAGGTTTTTTTTTACGGTCGGATAAAGAATAATCTCGAGGAATCTGGCAGAGGGAAAGAAAAGAGAATTTTGGACATTCGAATTGCTTTGCTGCATATTTGAGGCAAGTTGTAAAGGGCGGTTCGATTTTTCTTTTTTAAACTTTAGGAAACAAATAGATTTGTCAAAGAAATAGTAGTAGTTTGTTATATGGGTTTATTTTACTAAAAAGTGTAACTTAATAAAACACCAAATTGCACTATACAGCGTGGTAAAAAAGTTCTGCATAAAATTCATATTTTCGTTAAACAATTTTTTTTTTGAAAAACGGTGAGACCCGTCAATTTTTATTTGATCCAGGGCACCTTGTTATGTGGAAAAATGTTTTTTTCCAATGACGACGCATATTTTTTTCGTTCGAAATTGATGACAGTGATAATTATCTAAACAACGGTGTGAAAATTTCGATGTCTTACATAACAATTTTTTTTAGAAAAATGCACCTTAAGTTCTTATAAGTGATAATTGTCTACTTACACTATTAATGGCTCCGAAAAGGACAAAGTTGACAAAATTACATTTCAAACGAGTAAAATTACACTAATGTTTGTGTAAGTCTAGCGAAATTGTTCGAATTGCCCACCCTGTACCATTTGGCATTGTCCTAAGCGTGTGTAAACGCCGTCTACACTTCGTTCAAGCATTCCCGGGTCGATTTGATTTATTTCAAAACGAATACGGTTTTTAAGTTCTTCCAAATCACCTGGTCTGTTTGTGTACACACGCGATTTCAAATAGCCCCACAAAAAAAAGTCTAGAGGTGTTAAATCAGGCGAACGCGGAGGCCACTCGATTGTTCCGCGTCGCCCGATCCACCGGCCAGTAAACGTGTTATTCAAGTACTCCCGTACTTGCACTCCATAATGGGGCGGTGCACCATCCTGCTGAAACCAAATTCTTTCCTCAGGAATATCAGGATCCTCGTTGTTCGGGAATAACTCTGCTAAGCTTGGGACCAAATCGAACCGCAGGAAATCCAAATAGCGAGCAGCAGTTAAATTTTCCTCGAAAAAATACGGGCCTAAAATACGACGCCCTATTATTCCCGCCCAAACGTTCACCTTTCGGGGGTGCT